TGATGATGATGATGATGATGATGATGATGATGATGATGATGATGATGCATGATGATGCATGATGATGATGCATGATGATGATGATAATGCATGATGATGATGCATGATGATGATGATGATGATGATGATGATGATGACGATGATGATGATGGATGATGGATGATGGATGATGGATGATGGATGATGGATGATGGGTGATGGGTGATGGATGATGGATGATGGATGATGGATGATGATGATGATGGTGATGATGGTGATGATGATGATGATGATCCTTTGTTTTCCAAAACATGTTCCAGGGGTTTGACACTTCTATGGAAGATCCTCTTTGGTTTGCCCTTTCGTCGGGAGATCCGTTTTAAACTTCCCAAACTCCCCGAGCGATGTCGTTGGGACACCGGAAACGTCGGACACCGCAGCGGAGCCAGACCTGCGGAGCTGCCAAACAGGGCCGCAGCGTCGCCTGCGACGTGCAACAGCGAGCGCAGCTCAAAAAAGGGTGCTGAACACGTCCTTTCTTTGGCACCAAAGTTCTCCCCAAGAGGAACCCCCCCAAAAAAAAAAAACATTGTTGCAGAAGAAGCAGGAAGTTCCTCAAGAAGGATGCGTCCATTTAGGGTTCTCGTTTCAAAAAAAGGTCGAAAACCCCCCCAGTGACGGCGGGTGCGCCTCCGAAGGGCGAGCCCGATGCTGAGCGCTCCGCGCTGCCGCAGAAGATGCTGCCTAAGGCGAAACCCAACACGGAAACCTGCCAAACCAAACCAGCTGGATGCCTGCGTCACCAATGATTTCCTGGTGAAAATGTGAGAAAATGTTGGGGGTTCTTTTGGAATTCCTTGGTGGGACCACCTACCCTCCCACCCTCATTCCCTACGAGCCGCAATCAGGAAAATGGGGCGTGCAGCCTCCCTCTCTATGCATTCCCATGCCACGGGTCACATCCAACATCAGCAAATATCAAATGCTAGTACCAGGATGCTGGGACTAATGATCTAGGCTTGTGGGTGGGTTGATGTCTTGAAAGCTTATGAACCAGGATGTCCTCAAACATTGCATACCTCCACACCCGTCACCTCCCAAGCCCTGAACCCTGCCTGTACTCGGTGGTGGGGCACCTGGGGCACCTTGAGATCGGTCCCAAGTCACGTCAGATCAATTGAAAGAAGAGCCTCCTATGGAGCGCTAAAGCCCACAAAGCTCTCCAGGAGACCCTCTTTGTTTTTGCTTCACATAGGCGAACGGCAAATCCTCCAAGCAAACTACAGATCTTCTGTATGCGGTTATCGCTTGTTGTAGTTTGCTATGTCGCTTTGCAAGGCTCTGAATGGTTTGAAAATCGCAGGCAGGCTTTGACAAGCGGGCAAAGGATATGTCAAAGCGAAAGTTTAGCAGCAGCCGAAAGGCAGCTCTTGTCAAAGGAACTGGCCCCTCTCTAGCAGTTGCCCGTGCCTTTGTAGAACGAAACTTCATCGTCAAACATGCTTGTCAGCACCGATGCACTGACTGCTTTGCCAAGCGGGAGTGAGAACTTTGGCATCAATCTTTGTCACCTAACTGGGGAGGTGACCACTACGGCAGCCAACAAGTAGTTATCGCTTTGTCGTCGACTGTCGATCAACGACTGGGATCTTTCTCGGAAACCGAGCGAGGAAACCTTGCGCAGGAGGCTGCAGAAACATGCAGAAACAAGGCGAGCGTTGTGCAGCCTGCCACGGGCGCAAGCAACTTGCCTGTAGCCAGTCAGTACGATAGCTTCCTTGTGCGTAGTGCGCCAGGTGCAAACAGTCCACGCTTCGTTGCGTGCACGCAGCTTTGTGGAACTTGAGTCCATCATGATCAACTTATTGCAAGTGAAGCATGATCTCATTGTTCAAGTTATATATCGATGTTGGTAGTTCAAATTATCGTTTTACAGGGTTTGGGGCACCTACATCATGGAAAGACCCTCCAAGATGAAACTCTTACTGTACATGAACAGTTTCACCTGTTGCTCAAATGCTGGGATCAAGTATTGGGTGAACCAGCAGTGTAAGCAAACTTCGCTGCAACTAAGAACACAAACAAAACCAAACAAATGACGTGCAGGAAGTGTCTCAGTCCCTTCGGTTGAGCTAAGGGAGACGCCAAAGATCGATCCGGAGCTGGAACCTAGCCCAAGGCCATCGTCGACACATTGCAAGGGAGGAAAAACGGCTGTTTTCCGGCATGAATGCACAACTTTAAGGCCGAAAAATCAACCATGGCCATCAGAGTCAGTTGTTTTGAGAGTGGCCGAACTCGTGCCCTTAGGGCATGTCAAAAGATTTAAAGATTTTAAAGCTACCTCAACCAATCCAGCTCCGGAAGCATGAGACACCGTGAAGGACGAACGTGTCCACCACGGACGCGGCCGCGCCTGATGAGCTACTGGCACTGGGCGCTCCAAAAAGTGACCCAGTGGACGAGCCAGAGCCTTCGGAGGCCAAAGCAGAGCTGCAAAACCAGAAAAGGTCAAAGGTCCTCCCAATCCCTGGAAGATCAGCTGCAATTGTGACTGTGCATCAGAATTGCTGGGCGGAAGTGGAGTTCTGAGATGTTCATGGACCATGGACCCAGCCCAGTGACCAACCATGGGGTGCAACCAACCGGTTGATGGGCACCACGGGCCTGAGCCAAATAAGTTGCTGCTGCCACCTGCAAAAAGGTTACCTGCCACGCACAGGAATCATCTGGTCCACGATGAAAAAGAGGCGCCAACATGTTGGCGCAAACATGATTCCCCTCAAATTCTCAGGTCTTCTACGAGAGTTTCTCACCTGTGTCTTCGCCTTTGATCATCACCTCACGTGATCTTGATGTGCAAGGTCTTCAGTTTGGATTATCCAAAGCCTTTCACTTGAGCTCACCCCTGAGACCTCAATGAGGTGAGGACTGCGTACTTCGTATCATGAACACTGCTTTGGCAGTCGTTCAACACATTCGGACTCTCGTACCATGTTTCACCAAGTCGGAACATGTATCTGCTTTTGCACGTGTTCAGTCACACAATAAGGCGGTTCGAACAAAGCAGCAAAAAAGACATGGATCCTGAAGAACCATTGACACGGATGCGGCCTCCCTCAAAAATCTTGGAGGCACTATTGCCGGAGCCATCAAAGAGACTCTTCCCCTGAGTTGCTGCTGACGTCAAGTGGTTGAATCGTCGCACGTGGAATCCCCTGTCAAGGATGCTACACAACAGTATCCAGTATCCATTCGTTCTAGCAGGTTCTCAACTTAAGATCATGATATTGCCAAGCAACAGGTGCAAAAGCTCCAGAATCCTGAGGTCATCAACAATTTGGATGCTGGGATTTGGAACGCTCAACGCAAAGCGTTGCTACTTCAGCACATTCGGAGTGTGCCTTTTCCACCCTACAACAACTTCGCAGGAAAGTGGAGGGAAGAAGCAGCACCCAATTCAACGACAAGGCACCCCGAATGAGGAGCTGCTGGCTGAGCCGAAAAGTGACTTGCCTGCAGAAGAACTGCTGGTGGTGCCGAAGATGGAGCTACCAAGGCTTGAGCTCGAGCTTGTTCCACCTAAGCAGTCTTTAATGTCGAAGACAAAAACAGTGACTGAAATGCCAAGTGGTCATGCTGTGTCTTTTCATTGGTTTCTTTATGTTTCTTTGGTCCATGTCAATCCTCCGTGCCCAGCCACCAAACAGGTCCTTCGTTCCGCTGCCAAAGAGGGAACCTCCAGAGCTTGCACCAAAGAGGGAACCGGTGCCGCCCGCTGAAGTGAAAAGGGATGAGCCACCAGTTGCTGCACCGAAAATGGAGCCACCACTGGTGGCTGTGGAGTCACCAAAGATGGATGCGATCGGGGCAGATGCCGATGCGATCGGAGCACTGGCAGCCGCACTGGCAGCACCTGCGTCAGGTGGGATGCCCTCTCGGTCCATGCCATTGCGTTACAACCAACACACAACCTGCAGAACTGCTCGGGTGGTCCACTGGTATGTCGTGGGGAAGTCTTGAACATGGATTTGGATATCTTGGACATCTGCAGATCGCAAATAAGCTCCGGCCTTCATCATCGGGATCGTCCTTGAACTCCTTCCCTTCTCCTGTCAGTAGACCAATTGAAGACCCAGCATGTTTGCATGAACCATGCAGTCCATCAACTCAACTCAAGAAGGCATGCACCCTTTAACCAACACCATTGGAGAACCGCCTTCTGAAGATGTTCTGGATCCAACACTTGGATTCAGACTGCCAGGAGTTTTTCAGCGAGTTTGAGTTGGTGGGAGCTCCATCACCAATGCGTCCTTCCCATGCATCTTCACGGGTGTAAATCTTGCTGGGATCCAGGTCGTATCTTTTGCAGACCTTCGCAAATGAAGGGTGGCAAGGAGAACAACAGGCGACGGGTGCCAACTACCTGAGAAGCTTCTGAAAAAATACCTCGTGTGTCGATTGACAAGCGTGCAAAAGCTGGCACCCAATGGCACGACCTTCATTTTTCGTCACGGAAAACGTTCAGTTCTGTGGGTTTGGTGTCCAAACAAAAGACCGTTAAACTTCTCCACCAGCCCATTGCCTTCTTGAAGAGTATGACCTCCTGCCCTTTGTGTTTCTCCATGAGGCTTGACACCTCTTTCCTGAGTCGTTCAAGATACACTTGCTTTCCTCTAAATTTGGTGGCTCAATCTTGAGCCCGCAGGACTTGATTATATAGAGGTAGGTCTGAAAACCATTTATGAACAAAGACCGTCTTCTTCCTCCTGCTTCGATTCTAGTGATTGGATGAAGAGTTCCTTCCACAGAGGCTGCCAGGCGCCCGCCTGGCTGAGCAACAATGTCAACCCATGGTAACCCTACAACTATAGTGGTCCCCAAATAGATAGAAACGGTATGAAACGGTTTCCAATACATGTTTGGTGGGGATCTACTTTTTTATCTATCTGGGGGCCTATGACCAACTGGTCTGCTGGCAAGGCGCAACTTAATGGGATTCCTGTCGTCGACTTGCACACAAATGCGACAGGTGCTGAACTTCTATCAGTTGGACATTAGACATTACTCACAATTTGCAAATTATGTGTATATATATATATATAGAGAGAGTGTGGAATCAACAGATTCCACACTGGTAGCCACTCGTGGTGCCCTGCACCACACACTCAAAAGCAACGCGCTCCCGGGCGCGACCTTTCTTCCTCCAGCTCTCCGAGTGTCCTTGGCGTCCTCGCCACCGATCAGAGGTGTCCTCACCTCACGGCCATGCCACGCGCTTCCAGCGCGTCCTAAGCCCCCTGACTTTCGGGCCAAGAAGCAAAAAGGTGGTCGAACGATGCTTCGATGGTTCCGGCAGGCCTTTGGTTCAAGCTGAATTCACACTCCTAAAAAAGTCTTTATCTTTCTTCTTGGTTTGACTGAGATGCTTCCGAAATCCATTGATTGCGTAACTTCTTATCGGCACGTTGTTGAAGGATCACGTCGATATCATGAACACGGCAAACACCTTTGTCCAAGAAAATTCGAAGGGGTGTTGTGTCCATGTCTTTCGTAAGTGCATCCGCAAGTTGAGCGGCTGAGTGAACCCATTTCACACTCACCCCCTCGGACAGGCGGTCTTTGATAATTAAGGCCTCAAGCATGGTTCTATACTCTGAGCATTGGGGTATGGATGTCTTTTGCAACAGATCATACAAGGATTTACAGTCCACTATGGCATATGCCTTAGGCAATTGAGCCAGGGTCTGTTCCGGTTTCTGCCACTGAAGCGTCGGCTGTACTAACCAGGCCCAATGCAAACGAGTCCAGCTCAAAAGGTCCAAAGCTCCAGACAATGCGTATGTCTCAGAAGCTAACGTGCTTCCAACTACACGAGCTATCTTTTTGGAATACCAGGCCAGAGGACTGGTGGGCGCAGCTTTATCTTGATCAATCTGTTCGTTGGTGGTGAGAATTAGACAACCCTTTTGGGAATGCGCCTTTTCTCGGGTGGCAAAGGCTGCATCAGAGAATGAAACAAAACGAATTTGGGGAATCGGGATGGATCGGTATCGAACCGTGACATCGGCATACCGCTTGGCTTCATGAAGTACTTTATTCCCATCTAGCAAGTCTTGGACTGTAGCTACAGGAATCTTTGCTTGTAGCAGGCTAAGTTTACAGGACAAGTCTGGCCTCGTGTTCGAAGCAGCGTACTGCAAACTGCCAATCAAGCCTCTTAATGCTTGAAGTTCATGCGGTGTTACTGGAGACTTCGGGTCAGCTCGTCTTTCTCGAGGCACTTGGATGCTCGGGATGTCTTGTATGTACTCTTTCTGATCTACGAAGATTTCATGATTGGCTTCTTGCTGGATATGCAAACCCGTGAAAGTCATGTCTCTCTTGCGGTGGCTGCCGAACGGATATTTGGCTTCAAGTTGTTTCAATTTAAAATGGAATACTTGGTCTCCCCCTCCTATTCCATCATCGACATGAACACCAATGATACCATGTATACCACAAACCTCAGTTGATGGTTGACTGCTCCTAGATTGTTTTGGTAGCACGAAAACGCACGGGTCCAGGGGTGACATTTGGAATCCCAAAGATAACAACGTCCCCTTCAATTCTTGGTACCACAAGATGGGTGCGTTGATCAACCCGTAGGCTGATTTCAAGAGCTCACAAACCTCATGTTCACGAAGTTTCATCTTTTCCTTCATTTCGGGTGGCGGTTCAATACCTAGCACTCTCGAGTCCTGACGACTGCCACGAAGATAAGGCAGTTTCGATGTCGAACGAATTGACTTCCCATTGTGCACTGGCCAAGACCTGCAGTATGAGAGATCGACTATCTCTTCCCAAGGTCGGTGCGTCACGTTCTAAGGTCTCGATGGCCGGATCTTCAAATCCTAGAATTACTAGTCTGGCCTTCGCTTTTCTACTTCGTCCACTGCTTGCTTGTTCTTGGGGATCGAGCGGCTTCCAAGTGAGAACCCAGCGTGTTCGGAGGATCTGGTCTTCAGGGATCTTATTCCGAGCTATGCGACGGACAGTATCGGTTGCTAACCATTGATCTATTTCCTTGGCTTTAGCTTCAATCATTTCTTGGTGGTCGGATCCCTTTAAATCCTGCATTTTGATTTCCACTTTCTGTCTTTTGGCTTGGGGTGCAAGAAAAATGACTTGATCCTGATATTGTTTCGAACAACATTGTTGCAGTTCCTCGGCACTCAGTGCAATCTCTATGGTCAGACAGGACTGGCAGTCTCCGCTGGACGTGTGGAGTACCGGTTCAAGCTTGGTCTGTACAGGATGACTTTCGGGTGGGACACGTTGATCTTTCAGGAATATGGTCTGTCCTACCCAAATTTCCGGCAAGTACCTATGAGCTTCAACATTATTGAACCATTGATCCTTAATATTGAAGGAATTGTCATCTCTATACCGCCCTTTGGTGATGCGAGTTCCAAGCTCCTTGAGAGGCCAGGGACATTGCGAGCAGTTGGTAGGCACAAAGAGTTGGAGTCGTGGTTTGACATGATATCGAATCACACAGTGTTCTTTTTCTTCCCAAAAGTCATCAGTATGCTCCTGGGTCACAAGTTCATCATCCTCATCTATCGGGATGGGCACGGTGCTCGGGTCGATGTCCGTTGCCGGCGCCGCTTCACTCATGGGAGTCGGGCTTTCTGGTGTCAAATCAGGTTCTGCGTCTGGTTGAACTTCTGAATGAACACTTGTGGGAACAGGTGGAAATTCCGCGGTCTCAACTGCTGTGTTGGGTTCAAGTGATGTGTCTATGGCGCTGGGATGACTATCATTCCTGACTGTGTTTTGTCGATTATCTACACTGTCACTGACCTGGGTCATGCTGGGGTCTGATTCTCTCGGAAGGGTGGTCAATTGATGATATTGGAAAACTCCACTTCCCGGCCTAATGTCAGGATCTTCATGGTCCCCTTGGGCTTTCAGACTTCCTAGTTCTCGGTTTGAGAGGACTCTGACATGTTCTGGCGCACAACGAATGAGACGGGTCAAATGACTAAGCCACATGATGCTCGGAGAATCAATCATGAGGACTTTGGCCGGACCTTGCCACTTCTCGCTCTTCCAATACATGACCCAATCTCCAACGGTGTGAATGCATCGGCTCGGACGGGAACGTCCATGAAGTGCTCGCCGCAGTTCATTGCAGTTATCAGCACGAACAAAAGCTCGTCGGGCGGCTTCTCGGATTTCGAGCTGCTCTCGGAACTGAGCGGACTCAGTTTGGAGGGCCGTGACATTGGATCCGACTTCTGAATCATCTATGATGCTCCCAGGCAAACGGCGGCTCTTACCTAGCACCAAGATTTCCGGAGTATATCCCTTCACCCTTGACATGGCATTCTTTGCATTACAAAGTTGAATCAACACACGTTCAAACTCCGTTTGGGTCTGAAAAGGTCTATCAACATACATCTTACTGAGCATGTTTTGCAGTATGGCTCCATGTCGTTCAACCCTTCCAAGTTGCCAGTGAGCGTCCGTGGGAATGACATGACTCTTGATGTCCAACTCTTGCAAGAATCGAGCAAATCCCTCGCTATTGGCTTCCGTGGCACTGTCGAACATTAAACCTTTTGGTGGTCCAGCCCAAGACAACCAGGCATTTTGGAAACTATAAATCAATGCTTCCGTGGTCTTGGACGTGTATGGTACAGCGACATGAAAATTGGAGGCAGTATCCAGGAAATGAAAGAAAAAATATCTCTTCCCAGTCGGATCTGTCCATTCACAGTTGTCAAATTGGATTAGGTCGTTGAACTCACGGGCATCCCGAAGGTGGCCCGGCCGAGCGATCTTGGGTTGCGAGAGTTCATGGCAAGTATCACAGGCCATGTCTCGGACGGCTTGTTGGACCGCAGGTGCCCATCCATGATCTGCCAGAGCTCTTGCAAACTGTTCACCATTCGGGTGGCCAAGATTCACATGCATGCGTCTCAATTGACTCTGCAGTGCATTGGGCAAGCTTCGAAACATTGGGCCATGCTGCAATGAGCTGTCCCGAGAAGAACTGCTGCCTGAATTGTCCCCAGTCGGATGACTCATATCCGAGGCATTCGCGTTCCGGTCTCTTGAATCGTCGGCCGGTCGACCGTTCCCTGTTACTAAACTTTCCGATTGGTTATCATGTTCTTTGGGTGTGGCAAAGACAGTGACTGCAACGCGGGCTGGTCGTCCAATATTGCGAACTTGTTGGCGTTGAGACAGTTTGGTCCATTCTTCCCATCCATCATCGGAAAAGAACTGTTGATTGGATCGGTCCTTAGCAAACATCCATCTAAAGGAACTTACCCCAGGTTCTACACGAACTGTTCTTCTACGATCTACTCCTTTGCAAATATCAATCGCCTGTATGGTCATGTCCGGGAAGACTTGTTGAATAGCTTCAAAAGCGGGTCCATCAAGAATAATCCGTTTTCCAACTCTTGGGGCCAATTCCTCAAAACGGCTCAACAAAGGCTCAAGCTGTGAGCGAGGATCCACTTTCCGGAGTGGTTCATACAGTGTCTCGGCCGGAGACTTGGCACACAATCGACGACGCTTGGGCGCCGGGGCGTCATCAGATTCGGCAGTGACCGCTGCATGGATGGCGTGGCATTCGTCGGAAGTTTCATGATCATGGGTTTCTTGCACACGCAAACTACACTGGATGATCCTACTCAAATGTCGGGCGAAACAGCTGGTGTAGTTCTCGGTATATCGACTCAGGGACTGTCTGCCATGCCGAATGGGCCAACAGGACCCAGCGATGAGACCATGGCTATGTGTCCCAGGACACTGGAGTTGTTCTAGCCGAGCTGCCATGAGGGCGGAAGATGTCCACACTTGAGTGCGTTTCCGCAACAATTCTTGACTATTGGGATGTCGAAGAGTGCCAGCAACACACATGTCACAGAGAACTCGTCTGGTTGTTTCTAAGACCGGTTTCATCTCATGTTGGTATATCAGTTCTGAACCCTGAGGTTGTTCCAGGTGAAAGTGGAACGTCTTGCCTCGCCATCCCTGCAAACCGCACAGCGCTGAACACAAGCGCAAGTGGATGTTCTCCAATTTGCGATCTTCCAGGATTCGCTGGGCGAGGATCTGAGATTTCATCATGTTCAGTCTACTCCAATTGCACCAGGGTCCACATTTGGGAGAAACCCAAATGCGCTTGGGTCTCTTCTTCCAAAGTTCATCGTACAGTGCACAGCGTCCTACGAAGGTCGATAAATCTCCTTGGCTCAAGCCGAATCGACAGGCAACTAATCCACTCTTATTGGCCGAATTGGTCAGAGCACTGTCGGAGGAGCAATACACTTCGAGGAGGTCGATTCCGGGTTTCTGGAGATGTTTCTTCTGCTGACCTAATTCGTGGACTCCATACTTGTTTCCCCAATACTGGTGCATCTCTGTAAGTATGCTATTGGAGGGGGTTTCTTGGTTGAGGAGGACATCCCATAGATACCCAGCGTCTATGCTAGAGTGTGATTCTCGTCCTAACCCAACAGAGAGGCCAAGAGCATCACACAGTTGCAGTCGATCGATCGGCAGGGTCCGGGCGAGTTCACTCGGCTCAGGCTCTACTGAAGAGTTGCCTCGCTGTTCATCTGCCCGGTCAGGTATTGGAGCTGAGTCACGATCTGCGTCAGTGCTCCCTCGATCTGAGTGATCCGATCGTTCTGATGGACGGTCTCCTCGCGCAGCAGTTCCCAAGCTTCGCTCCTTGGAGTCGTGGAGGGCGACGACAAGGGAGTCTTCTTCTCCTGAGGATCTGGAAGTGCACTTGGTCGCGGAGCCGCTTTCGACTTGGACATCGCTCCCGGGGTTGCAGTGTTCTTCCCCGCTGACGACTGGCTCTGTCGTTCGAGCTCCTCCGTGTACAGTTTGACATACCTGATGAACTTCTGATGCGCTGGCTTGTCGGATTTCTGGTATGTCGAAACGAACCATGCCACGTAGCGAGGGTCGTCCCGGACAACTTCGCTGTAGTGCATCCCCTTCTTCTCCTTGCCGAATGTAATCTGTTGGTGCCCCAGCTGCTCCATGGTCATGTGCATGTACTCTTCCTTCGCGGCTTGATCTGACGAGGCTCGAATTGCCTTCTGGAATCGAAAGGCGATGTCTTCCTCCGGAGTCTGGGCCATGGCGTGGAACTTCGCGAAGATCGGTCGAATCACTGTCACTCGAACCCAAGCTTGAGTCGATCGAGGGCACATTAGAACGAGTGACGGGCTCGGTGCAAACCTGAGTCGATGGAACGGCCCTCGGTGCGGCTGGATGGGATGTCGGCTTCTCACAACACGAATCGTTTCGGTCGACCGAGCTGCATTCATAGTGCTGGGCGGTCAAAACAGCATGTTTCTCAGGACTCACGGATGTCTGCTTGGTTCGATCTTGGTTGGCCTTTGTGACAAGGCTGCAAAAGTCCAAAAGAAACAAATTGCGGTCAGTCAGGGTCAGCGGCATCGTCAATGCCAACTTCGGAAAATGGATCTGAGCCTGCTCGGTGTCAATCACAGCACCCAGCTTTCGAAACACGTTGTTTGAAATCAGGAAGGGGGTCTGGGATGGCACAACACACAACTTGACGAACCACTGAGCAAGCGGAATCAAATATGCATGAGTGCAAGTGACCGTGCTGCTGTTGCCAAAGCGAAAAATCGTGTTACACTCAATCTTTCGGATTTGCTTTTGGATGTTGGTTGGTAATTCTTGCAACAGTTGTTGAACCTGAGAACTTCCGATGACTGTCTGGCTAGCTCCTAGGTCAACAATGCCGCATGGTCCATGATGCACGAACAGGGCTTCCTGTTCCCCAGGCATAGATTGGTGCCCGGAGGAGTCTACGGAAGCGGGCATCTCAGTCTTGGAAGTCAGGGGGCTGTCACGTGAGTTCTGCCGAATCAACGAATGCTTCAGGCTTCGTGTGAGCCTTTGTGCATGGCGTTGGAGGAGGTTCTTGGTCTTTCCCCAGTCACTATCCCCAATCCCTGAAGTCCCCTTGGAGGAATGCATAGTGACAAAACAAAAAACTGACTGACCATTTGAACCAGGAACGATGTTCTCATCCATCTTAGAAATCAAAATCATGTCATCGTCCACGTCCGACGTCTCGGTCGCGAGAACTGCGCCGGCAAACGCTGTTCCTGCAGCTGGCTTTGGATCAGCATCGAAGCGTCGAGGACACTCAGCCTTCCAGTGACCCTTTTGGCCACATCGGCGGCACTCGGATTCCAAGATCCTTTGAGCAAGAGGTTTCCGATTCTTGCCCATGCCCTTGGAGCTGAAGCTGAACTTACCTTTTCCTTTGCCTTTTCCTCCGAGACCTTTCACCGGCCAGAAGCCTCGGTTCTTGTTTCTTTCGGTGATCCGCTTCCGGGCCTCCAAATAGGAGTAGAAGCATTGTGCTGTCTCGGGGTCATTCTGGAGCACGTCCACCAAGCTGTCCTCAAATTGCTGGATCACCAAAGCATCTTGTTCATTCTCTTCGGAGATCAACAGAGCTTCGTCGTCCCAGCTGTCCTGAAAAAGGGAGTCTTCTTCGTTTGCAGCTCCTGTGGGCTCCTCATCATCCACCACATTGGCAGTTTCGTATGTCTTGGTTCTTGTCGTGCTCTTCCCTGAGGTTTGCAGTTCAGAGAAAAATCTGGAACCAAGCAGTTTCAAAGCTGCCACAACCTTGTCATATTCCAGCTTGCCACCGGAATCCATGATGATCTTCTTCTTCTCATCCATGAGCAAACCACTGTTTCGCAGCAGACAATAAGCTCGCATCTCTTCAATCGTCACATTGAGGGAGGCAAGTTCCTCAAATTGGAAGTCGTGGCGGGCAAGATACGATTCATGCGTCTCATCTGCTCGCTGTGTCGTGGTATAAATGGCTCTCTCGAACCGCTCAAACTTTTCCTCATGTTTGGCTTTGCCCCAAACTCCACCAAGAGTAGAAACCAGCAGTTTGATCCCGTCCAGATTGTTCACCTTGAGTTTTCGGGCATCGACCCTCATCAGTCGCTTGAATGCTCCTCCTTCACAAAGCATCGCCGCTCTGGGTGCAAGATGAGCGAGGTGTTCTGTGGGCCAGAGTTCTGCCAAAAATTCCAGGCGACGGGTGTAGTCATTGATATCTGTTTCTCCGGGTTTGAATGCAGGTATCATACCCCATGGCAAATGGGATAGTGAGCTTGACTGCTGAGCGCCACCAGTGCTAGCGGATGGGCCATCACCTTCAGGCATCCTGGATCAGGCTCGACTTCCGCTGGAAAGAAAAACAGCTACTGCAATCTCGTCCAGCGGTCGATGGTAGCTCCGCTACCAATGTGGAATCAACAGATTCCACACTGGTAGCCACTCGTGGTGCCCTGCACCACACACTCAAAAGCAACGCGCTCCCGGGCGCGACCTTTCTTCCTCCAGCTCTCCGAGTGTCCTTGGCGTCCTCGCCACCGATCAGGGGTGTCCTCACCTCACGGCCATGCCACGCGCTTCCAGCGCGTCCTAAGCCCCCTGACTTTCGGGCCAAGAAGCAAAAAGGTGGTCGAACGATGCTTCGATGGTTCCGGCAGGCCTTTGGTTCAAGCTGAATTCACAAGAGAGAGATATATATATATATAGATATAGACATACCCATGGGGTGCAGTGTTGCTTGCCCTCCTCTGTCTAGAAGCTGTATGAAGGATAAATGCGTGCACATGGGCATGCTCCCCGCATGCGCGAGGAGAAAAAGCATCCGCGCCTGTTTGTCTGCGTGTTTTTGCGCACCAATCCCTCACATTGGGTCCATTTCATGGCTTATTGCGACCAAAAGAATGTTCCTGCATGTCTTCCACAAATACTCTGACCCTGGCAGATCGCTCTTTCCTCGCCTCCTCCGGTAGATCGCTTCGATTTGCACTCTCCAAAAATCCACCTGGTTGTCGATCTTCACAGGCGCCTCATCCCCCTCACCTGAGCGTAAAGTAACTTCAGGGTCGGAATCCTGCTTTATTCAGACTTCTTTTCAAGCACTTGTTGAACTTAAACAAACATCTGTGTCAATTCTCTCTGTCTGGTTTCGGTTCGAGGTTCAGCCCGAACGGATACGGGATCATTCATGCGAGAACGAGGGATGCCCCGTTGCACGGCATCCGAACCGTCAGGGACGGACTGTGAACGGACCGAACGGACCGGCGGTGGCAGTTTCTTCTTTGATTCGGTGTCAAACATGTCCACTTCCAAACGCTTGGATTCGTGTTCATCATTCCACTGTGGCTCCCTTCATTTGAGAGGCTTATCCTCTGTCCAAAAAGCGGCAGTCTTTGAGAAGCAAGAACCCCTCTATTCAGCCATCTGCGAAGCACGACAGGACAATAGGACTGAATAGTTTAACGCTGGAATCATTGGGCAATTCTACAGGCTCTCGGACAACAAAGCAACATACCTAGTTCACAACAGCAATATTTACAAAGGTTCAGTTGGAGAATTTGGAATATTGGCAATTGTACATTGAAAGATATTGAAAGTACATTGATGTACATGTCAAGGAATGTTTCCGCTCAGCCGTTGTGTCAGGATACCTGTGTCAGCCGCCCCAGCGCCAGGAGTCGGCCCTTCTTTCGTCTCCTCTTTCTCAGCCTTCTGGGGCCTTGGTTTAAGCCCAAAAAAGACGGTGAACGTGCGAAGAACGCAAGGTCGAAACCGAAGAACGTTGCGAACTCGAAACAGTGCACCTAAAAGAAAGGCACTTAGAGTGGACTCACATGCCACCTTAGCGCCACATGCCCACGAGCGACCCTCCTCTGCGACCATGTTGCTCGGGAGCTTTACCTCAGCAATCAGTGGTTCACATGTCACATGTATCAGCACACCTATAAAGCCCGGACCGTGGGGAAACCCAAGGCGGCCAAGTGTTCTCAAGATCTCCTGCATCTGGAGAGGCCAAGTGCTGTTGTGAAATGTAACATCTAGTGAGTCAAAATGAGTCCAACATCTGGTGAATCTAGGCCTTTATCATCCAACTGCATCCAACTGCCCTATGGCTGCATTCAACTCCTGCTGCAAATGAGCTGCTGGTCTCAAGCGGAGTGGACACCGCCAGCAGCTCCGCTGGTGGCTGGGGCGGAAAGCCTCGCGCCGCGGCGGAGGTGACACGACTCGGAAGAGTCTGAGCTTTGCAGTATGTGAGTGGCAAAGCTCTACTTTAGATGTGTTTTTGCAAATAAAGAGGACCAATAGATCACTGGTCCTTTTGTGACATTGTGGTTGTTGATACCATCCAATCATAAATATGTTTCGGACATGCAGCAAGGTTTTGAGTAAGTCCGGCGATCAACTTGATGTGCCATGGTGCTGGATGATTGGGTTGGCTAGGATTGGTGATGCCTTGCAGAGAAAAGAAGCGGTACCAGCTATGTATTATCATGAATGTATATGTCATACAGAGTACACATCCCATTTGTACTCAGTATTCAAGCGATGATAATCAATGATGTCTGCCTAAATCCCAAGTGTCCCGACTTTGCTGAGGTCTATCTGGCGGCCTATCTATTCCCTCCAGCCTCCACTGATGTCTGTCTGAAAGAGACCACCTGGTGGTGGCTGCGGAGGAAATTCAGCCTTGGGCACGGCAGCTGTCGTGTGCAGGCGAAATCACATACAAGGACGAGAAAGGATCCTGTGCACCAAACCATGTGAAGCCTCAACAAACCTGTGGGGTATGAGTATCATGCATTGCCCTGTATCCATATTCCCTGTGATCTTTTGTGATAGGGGGAGTTGCTGACAAAGTAGTCCCACATGCCACTGAGTGACAATTGGTGCCTCCTCGCGCTTCACGCTGCTCACAACGCTCCTGGTTTCAGCTGAAGAGTTGAAAGGTCGTCTCGTCTGGCACCACTCCCGTCTGGCACCTTGTCAATCTCTACTCTACAGAATCAAACATTTCAGACATCTCCCGGCAGCTTGAATCAGTTCTAAAGTCATTTAGACCAGATTAGACCAAAAAAAGGTTCTTAGAGCCTCAATTCGTTGGTTCGGTTGGGATCGATAGACAAACAAACTTCAGATCCGTTCGGAGAAAACAGCGGCCCGATAATCGTATGCAATGCTCAAGAAGGGGCTCAAGTCTACACGTCCATATTCTGTTTCGGATGTTTGATCTATTTTGATCTCTGTCTTCAAGAAGTTTCCAGTGTGCGAGTTGGAGGTGCTCGCAAAGGGTTTCGCATGGTTCCGTCATTAAAGAACCAAGCTCGGTGCCTAAAGAACCATCGCGATGGCCTCCAACCTACTGAGGACGCTGAGAGGGTCCCAAAGCTCGGCGATGAAAAAGGCCCCTTCCTCTCAGTTCAGTTTGGTAGCATTCGGACGCTACGTTCGGCTCGCGTCCGATCTGTGCACAGATCGCTCTGATCGCTCCGTTCGTAGCGATGAGCGGGTTCCTAGTAGCGATGCCAGGAGCCCCGATCGTAGCTTCTTGTTCCTAATAGCTTCTTGTTACTAGTAATTAGGGCCAGGAGCCGGGTTCGTAGCGTCCGATCGCTCCGTTCGTGGCGATGCCAGGAGCCCCGATCGTAGCTTCCTGTCACTAGTAGTTCAGGCCCAGCCTGCGCCCCCTCACGATCTTTCTCTTTGCAAGGACTTCAGGGTCCGCTTTGCGCCGTGGTTCGTTCCCAGTCTCCTCACATCGTTCGTTTTCGCTCTGGAAATCGATCAAAATGTACCCCTTTCTACTCCTGACCAAGGACATGTAACACTTTATATTACTCAAGATACTACCTGGCGATCCTCACACGAGGAGATAACCCTGAGCGTCTCTCCTCCGACTCGAGGCTAGCCCTCCGCTTGTTCGTGGGCTCCTGGTCACAAAAGGGGCTTTCGTCTCCGCTTCACAGCCAATAGTAGTTCTTGCTGGACTAGGTGACTAGGCTCAAAACTCGCTGACTAGGTGACTAGGTGATACATGGAGCTTTGTGGGATTGACGTGTTGCTCCTCGGCGTTCAAACCGAAGGGATCTGACAAGGCCTGAGCTTGCCAAGCGGAACCCAGGCGCGGAACAGGTTGCCGCAGGGGACCCTGGGGGGGACCACCAACGACTTGAGACGACCACCGCATCGATTCCAACGCTTCAGGTGTCCCACGAGCTCAATAGTCCTTCATTGTTGGTTTGTGTCCGGTCAGGAACAATTGCCTGTGACAATTGAGGTCCCTCTTGTCACTGGTGAGGCTGGCATGATGAATTCCGCCTGGGTGGCCCCAGCCCTAGTCGTTGATGAATCTGATTTGTCTTTGATCGTCGTCATTGAAGTTTTCCACCACTATCACAACCACTACCACTACCACGACTACTACGACTACTACGACTACTACGACTACTACGACTACTACTACTGCTACTACTGCTACTACTACTACTACTGCTACTACTGCTACTACTGCTACTACTACTACTACTACTTACTACTTACTACTTACTACTTACTACCTACGACCTACCACCTACTACCTACTACCTACTACCTACTACCCACTACTTACTACTTACTACTAACTACTAACTACTAATTACTAACTACTAACTACTAACTACTAACTCCTACTGCTACTGCTACTGCTACGACTACTACGACTACTACGACTACTACGACTACTACGACTACTACGACTACGACTACTACTACTACTACTGCTGCTGCTGCTGCTGCTGCTGCTGCTGCTGCTGCTGCTGCTCCTGCTACTGCTACTGCTACTGCTCCTGCTCCTGCTCCTGCTGCTGCTGCTGCTGCTACTGCTACTCCTACTACTACTACTACTACTACTACTACTACTACTACTACTACTACTACTACTACTACCTACTAACTACTAACTACTAACTACTAACTACTAACTACTTACTACTTACTACTTACTACTAACTACTATATAACTCCTAACTGCTTACTGCTACTGCTACTGCTACGCCTACTACTACTACTACTACTACTACTACTACTACTACTACTACTACGACTGCGACTGCGACTGCGACTGCGACTGCTACTGCTACTATGACTACTACTCCTTCTGCTTTCTTCTGCTGCTTCTTCTTCTTTTTCTTGTCTACGATTTAAAAGTTTCCTTGCCTTTCATGCAGAGTAAAGCTATGATGATAGCCTGTCGGTTCTTCATTCTTAGTGGTCTGGTGTTCTCGTGGCCTGGACGCCCTTCTGTTCTTGCCCTCAGCCCGGAGTTCATGGACCAACCTCATGACGCATAAAATCCCTCCAACGCCAGGTTCATGACGTTTTTGAAGCAGAACCCTCCGTCTTGGTTTCAAAAAAAGAACACCAACAAAGCAAACCCATGGAGCTTTGTGTGCACGCAGGGCATTGTGGCCAAAGAGCTGAGATTTGACGTCCGAAGGTAGCATCAGCCTGGGCACACGGATATCATACACCCAGCATCGACCTGGAATATATGCTTGAAAAACAAGGCCTTGCAAGCCTTGCAAGCCCTTTATCCAGGTAAAGCGCTGATCTCATTATCTTTGGTTTTGATCCCCTGTGTCATCACAGTTCGCACATGTTGGCACCTTGAAAGTCTCAACAGTTCTTGAAAGTATCAAACCCAGTTGTTGATTGAAGCACGAAAAGGGTCGGCCATTTGAGATTTACAAGATGCACGGCCAGAATTCAGCCAAGCAAGATTAAGAAAGCGCTTGGACTCTTGGACTCTGAGCTCCTAGCTCCGAACTGCCCAGGACCTTAGACGCACAAATCACTTGCAACATCTTTCTGTCTGCCATGAATCTCATCCCCAAGATTCCTAACAACTTGCCAAACATTGGTGATTGTGTCCAGCACTTCCGTCCGAGCCACCCTTGCTTTGGTCTTCCACCTTGTTGCCGAAGAGATTCCCCACAGATGACCCAGAGCTGCTACCAAAGATGTTTGCTGCAGATTGCTTTTCTGGCTCCTTAGACTCCTTGCTGAAACCAAAGGTGAAGATTCCGCCTGCTGAGTCTGAGGAAGCTTCTTTAGCACTTCCAGAAGAGGCTTTGGCACTGCCAAAGAGATTTGCACCCGAAGATTCTTTGGAGCTGCCAAAGATGCTGGTAGAGGATGAGCTGCCGCCAAAGAGACTTCCAGCAGAAGCAGATGAGTTGCTGGTACCGAAAAGGTTTCCGTCAGTTGTTGGACTGAGGAAAATGCTTCCTGTAGATTGCTTGGCTTTGGGTGGTTCATTTCCTACTGCACCAGTTCCAAAGAGTCCCACCGCACTTGACGAACTGCTTGTTCCAAATGACAGTGAGCCGCTTGCAAAGATACTTCCACCTGAAGATTCCTTTGAGCTCTCTCCGAAGCCTTTACTAGAGGATGAAGCAGAAGCACTACCAAAAAGGCTTGCACCGGAGGATGCCGAAGAGCTAGCACTAAAAAGGCTTGTAGCTGGTGCACCAGAGCCACTGCCAAAGAGATTCCCCACAGATGACCCAGAGCTGCTACCAAAGATGTTTGCTGCAGATTGCTTTTCTGGCTCCTTAGACTCCTTGCTCAAACCAAAGGTGAAGATTCCACCTGCTGAGTCCGAGGAGGCTTCTTTAGGACTTCCAGAAGAGGCTTCGGCACTGCCAAAGAGATTTGCACCCGAAGATTCTTTGGAGCTGCCAAAGATGCTGGTAGAGGATGAGCTGCCGCCAAAGAGACTTCCGGAGCTGCTTCCAAACACGCTCGCTCCTGTTGATGCGGCTGAGCCACCGAAAATGCCTCCGAAGCCCGAGCCCGGCGTGGTGCTGCTCTTGACCTCTTTGCTCCCTGGATCACCTCAGGCGAGTCTGACAAATGAAACAAACACAAACAAACACAGCACTTGACAGGAACGCAGAAAAGGACATTGGAATGGCAGGTTTTTTCAACTCCAACTCTCCACTTGAGCCAAGCTGCTTCCAAAGAGATTGGGAACGCTGAGCACATCTGTCGTCTCTGAGCTGCCTGCAGCTTCATGCGTTCTCGGCCGTCTCCGATAAAAAGGAATAAGAAAAGCGCCAAGTCTGACGTCACGCATCCAGTGTTTTTCCCAACGCAAATGCCCCTAAGCAAGAGTGTTGCGAGTGTGAAAGCCGAGCTGCCGAAGAGTGGGGTTGGAGGGAAGGCGGGCTTCGGCTCCTGCCGAAGTCGGACTCTCCGCTCGACTCAATGATTACAAAGCCTTGGGTCTTGCACGACTGACCCAAGATCTCAGGAACCAGATCTCAGGTCTTGCCCTACAGCCTGCAGGGACAGTCTGAAGAACTACACACTTCCAACGTCAAACTCCGATGGCCGCATGTCCTCGCTCGGCTCGCCTGTGAAAGGCCAACGAAAACCGAGAAGTGAACCCCTCAAAATGCTGCAAAATGGCAAAGCTGGCATTGTGCCATCGTGATCATCGTGCAAAAGTAGTAGTAGACTGGCCCGGTAAGAAGCAGGTGGATGCCGCGGTACCGTGCTTACTTTATCTGATAATGTTCAGTCAGGGTTGCAAGCATGTGCTTGCGACGAAAAAAGGGATCTTCAGCGTGCAAGTTGTCCATCCCTTTCAGCAATGGCACGCATGACGAAAGCAACTGAAGGACAAGTGTCCTTAACTGGTCTGGGTATGTTTCAGTTCATCGCACAATCGTCGGATAAATTTCCATGCCTGCAGGTGCCAAGCTGAAGAGTCCACCTGACAACAACTGAGCAGCAAAGCTACGGCTGTTCAGCTTCAAAATGAAAAATGGATGAGTTACCCTCCAGTTTGCTATTAGTTAAGTTCCCTAAAAATCTAGGAACCAAATCATTAGTGCGAGCACTTCTTCAAGGAAGCTTCCCCCACTTTAGGGCGGCGGGGGGAGCATCCTTGAAGAAGCGTGAGCTATCCTGCCTCCAGTGACTAGAAGCTTACGTCAGCTAGTAGCTAGCTACCTACCTATAGAGGCTTACGTCAGCTAGAAGCTTACGTCAGCTAGTAGCTAGCTACCTACCTAGCTAACCCTTAGCTACCTACCTAGATAACTTCTAGCTACCTACCTAGCTAACCTCTAGCTACCTACCTAGCTAACCGCTAGCGGCCTACCCACTCCTTTAAAAAGAATACCCAAATCGCCCAGTAGGATCGATAGGGTCTTCACGATGGCGAAACGATCAAACACATTCATGCAGTCTCGCCCGGGGCTGGCGGAGCCTGAGCTAGCACCAGAGGAAGCCTCGCCACACATCGAAAGGAGGCCAAAAACAATGTGTCGGGAGGACGATGATCGTCGGGCGATTCATGACTTTGCAAATGCAACACGGACAAACTGCAAGCTTCAGTTCTATCTGCACGACAGGCGCATCCTCTACATCTGAATCCAAGAGTGACGCGCTCAGTAGCACCACGCTTATCCAGCATATTCTCATGGGCATTGCACGGAGCAGGCTTTAGTTCAAAATGGTTTACTGCAAAGCAATAAAGCACATTAATTTTGGCACGCAGTCGGAGTGGTTGGGATTGATGGGGTGGCTTTCCGTGAGACGGGGACGGGAGCACTTGGACTTGCTAGCACGCTTGCAGTCATTGTCTTTACAAGGAAGGCATATGCTCTGCGTTGCTTGTACCCCAATTGCGCCCGAGGCCATCAATAAAGCCAGGGAGCAAAAAGGCTGCTGGAATTCTCACTTCCGAAAGGACCTTGCAAAAAACATGGCGGTTGTTCGTCCAGTCAACCAACTGTTCACTGTTCAACTGTGCAGATCACTGGTCAAATCCAGTTTCACCACTTGATTCAACCAGTTGATCCCCCCACTACATGCTTATCTTGACTTCTTGACCTGAGGATAGATGGTGTACCAAATACTTGGCATCTGGATGCAGCTGGAGAACTTCCCGAATCGGCTGTGGCAAAGCGCTTTTCTGCCTCAGACCGGGCAGTCCGCCGATTCGCGACGTCGATGCATCCAACGGTCGACACGTGGACTACTGAGGTCAATCTACCCTGTTTGGGGGATACGGGTTTTGCCCACAGCCATATCAGTATATGCTTGTGCTATGTCTTTCCCTACGGATTTCGTCCCATCAGTCCCCATCCGTCCCATCCTCGGGCTCTCACTTGCGTGCCACTGGCAAAGATGTTGATCTTCTTGTCCGGATCCGTAGGAGCAGGTGGGATGTCAAATAGCAGGCCTGGCGGCCATTTGAAAACCAAACAAAAACACCCTGCGTCGGCACCAAGGCTTGCCAAAAAAACCACCCACCCAATGCATTCTTGTTCAGCCAAGCTGCTACTTCCTGATGAAGCTTCTTTGCCAAAGAGAGCAGCACTTCCTCCCGTCCAATGACAAGCTTCGACTTGCTGGGAACACCCCTCTCTTGTCGAGATGACTTGAATGACTTGGCTTCGAACCAAACGGATTTTCAGCCCCCCTACCATCAGCTGCTTTCCAGTTTTCCCAACCTGAAGCGCCAAAGACTGGCTTCCCCGAGCTCGGCCTCGGGGGTTCGAGGGACACATCAGCTGATCCGTAGAGAACGTGACAGGTGTTTGGTTGCTGTGGTGTGCTGTACATCAATGCACGCTTTGATTGCAGATGAGTGTCCTATCGCAGTATTGGTCAATACCCATTGGAGAAGGCCCTTGAAGAATGACAAATTGATCGAAGTAAACAAAAAGGTTGCATGCGTTCCCTAACTCCGCTTTCAGAAGCATGGGTCTCAAGCTGCCTTGCAAGCGTGAGAAGAAGCCAAGCTGTTGACAAAGACATGATTTGTGAGCTTTCCAAACACATATGGCCCATATATATATATATAGAGAGAGAGAGATAGGTGTTTATGATATACATACAAACACATGTATGATATACACCTATGACAAAGCCCATGTACACATATCATTGTGTATGTTACCACTAGTGTTCACTCGCAAGGCCCCTGGCGGGGCGGAAGCGTCGATCAGTCCTGACGCCCGCGAAACCCAACAAAGGCCGTGGCTTTAGCGAGCCTTCACTTACTGTAAGGTGGAGTTGACATCCAAATGGCTAAGCGTCATAGTGTGACAGTGCGCCAAAACGCGCCAGTTCACGGATTTGTATCCCATGAATTCAATCACAAGACATGAAAAGACCGAAACAACTTCAGCAGCTGCGCACCTTTGGATGAAGGAACACCGCTTTGAGACACTTCAGGGGCATCGTCATCATCCTTGACATCCTGAATTTCTTGATCCGTTTCAAGTGACCCAAGACATAGACTGCTTGAGATGCACTTCACTCGGGTGACCGGGTCAAGTCGGCCTTGTCCTCAGACTCCCACGACTTCGGGTCTGCATAGAACCTGACTTCGGGGTAACACGGAGTCTGCGTCTTTCTCATCAGCACTCATCGGTCCGTTGGGACCTGCCAAATAGGCTGTTCATTGGTAGCACACCGCCCCAATCCCCACTGTGGGTCCCGGCTTCTTGGGATTCAAGTCGTATCGCTGACACACCTGAACTCTGACGCTTGCCGCGTCAGTTTCCCATCTGTTTGAATGGAATTTGACCCCGCACAAGTGACCAGACGGCCCAAAAGGATTGGTGGTGCTTTTCCAATTGGGTCGATTGCATCGCAGCAAGTGTTGTTCATTAAATCGAAAAATGACGAAGCAAAATCTTGGAGTATGGGAAACCATGTCGAAGCCAAAAGTGAAAACGCCAAGATGCAAACTTGTTCCATGTCAAGACAGGCCTGCTGGTACAAGATCAGCTCTTTGCCCTTGTGCTTCCTTGGCATGTTTCGAGATTAACATGAGACTGGAGTCCAAAGTAGATGTCTATCTGCACTACGATCCGATCCCCCTGTAAAGAACCGAAGGAAGGACAGTACTGATTTCCACAAGGAACGCATTCGCTACAGCTTTGCCCAGGAACTCCATCAAGCTCGCCACTTGAGCCAGCCTCGGGGGCACTCGGACTCAGCGGTTTTTGCAGCGCTTGGATCTCGGTGAGTCAGCTCTCTCTATGATACGATATGATTGGTGAAGCCAGGATTGAACCCCCATAGGCGAGCTGTGCAAAGCCTGGACCTGTTCAATTGATGCATGCATTCTTGTATGGCCGTAGGTAGGTGAGGTTGTGGTGGTGGTGGTGGTGGTGGCGGCGTGGCCGTGGTCGTGGTTGTGGAGATGCAAAATGGCTTGAACATGTGCATGAATGTCACACTTCGCCACCCTCTTACTCTATTCAAAAAGGCAAAGAAATCAATATCAACAACAATGCATATATGTCAGTATAAATAAAGCTATCACTATCACAACAAGTGCGACCGCCTGAAATGAAAAGCATGTCGCAAGCTGCCTGTGTGGATTTCTTCGTCGATAGATGGCTTCGATCTGAGCACGGGGAAATGGTCCTAGTTCTGGAACGCACTTAGAATCTACCATCCCCAAAGGATTAGTGGTGACGGTGAAACATGATGGATATACTGATAGGACATCTGGATATGATCCACATTTCACACAAACTAAAACTACGTTAGTATACAAAGTGGCTGACAACACGCGTCTGCGTCTCAGAGACCTTCGAACTCACAGCATCAATGAAACAATCGGGACATGTTTTGGGTGTTACCTTTTTCTTCAGCTGGCCGTCCGATGCCAGAAGTCCCACCCCGCCTGAACACGCCAGAAGTCCTCATCAGTGGTGACCTGTCCCCATTGATTTCAGCTGTGGTGACCGGTCTGTTGGCGTTCTCGATTTCTGCATAGACCCGTTGGTGTTCAAAAATGCTGCCCGTTCGTCAGCAGCAAAGCTGCAAGTACGTCGCTGCGAATCCACTGAGAATCTCCATGTAGTGAGTTGACAATGAATGGGAATCTATCAAACATCGCAACTCCATGCCTTCTTCACTTCCTTCTCTCCCACCTGCAACCAACATAAAGATAATAAAGATTCCGAAAACCTGTTTGGCACTGGTCATGACTAGGACGGAACGTTTCATGAGGAGCCACCTCGACAACCTCAGCCTCCACGCTTGCCTGGCGTGAGGTTGCACGTGCTTGGCCAGGCTTGACAATGTCAACTCAAGGAAGAAGCGTCCAGCAGCATTTGAAGTGGGCTGCCTTCTTAGGCCGCTTTGGCGCGGACTTCACGGCTATCGTCTTTTTGTCGCCTCAAATGAGCAGCGAATCCTGTTTCAGCGGGCGAATCATGAGCTGCACTCATCGTGTCAGGAACTGACACGTGCGTCGTACATCGTGCGTGTCGGTTTCGCTTGTTGAGCTTCTGACTCTTGGGAGCTTCCACCTCAGGAACTGAACGGAAGCGGATTCCACCGAGAGTCGAGTTGCCGATTTTCGGTCGAGTCGTCCATCGTCCACTTCGAGGGATTCCAATCGATAAGAACCGGGTGACCTGCAGTAGCGCCAGCACCAATGAAGTACGGAGCGAAGCAACACATGTTCACTTTTGTTGTTTCTTTTTGGCTGGGGGGCGTAGCCTGTGAAGGGGGAGGGGGGTTAGGTTAAGAAAAGAAGCTGGCAGAAAGAAAGCTACCGGGATACTTCGCAACAGGCCTCAGGTTCTTCACATGATTCATTCCTAGATCTCTTGGGAAACGTAACTTTTAGACCTTCAAATCTCGTTTTGATTGGTGTGGCTCTTGGGATTGCACCACTTCCACGTCATCTGATGGAGGCACACTCTCCGCAACCTTCATGACTAGCAATCGTCTTACAGTTGTGCGCAAATGAGAAGATACAAAATATAGACATGTCACAGGCAGTTAAATTGATCTAGAAGTGTGGAAATCCGTGCTTCAAGGATTGAATTTACTGTACCTAAAACAAAGGAAGATCACAAGGTGTGACTGGGAAACACTTTCTGGAACATCTGCACTGTAACACTGTACAAAGAAGTTCTGAAACGCTCATGTAAACATAATCTCAACATCGGGCCTCAACAATATCGTCCGATTCATCAGCTGCGGTGATTCTTCTGAGCGAAGATGCATTCACCTGATGCCGCAGGCGGTTCAATCATGTCATATCTTCAGCTGGATGTTCTGAGCAAGGCAACACCCTCATCCAATGTTTGACCAAAAAATCAAATTCCCACTGCAATACCTGGAGGTAAGTCAATACCTTTAGCAAAAGCTATGGGGGAAAAAAGAAACATCAAATACCGTTCAATTGGTTTTGCCTTTCTTCAGATCCTTCGTTCGTCCGTTCGAGTCCTCGCACCTTTCGCCTCTTGGCTGCAGGAGGTAACTCTGGAGGTGCCACCACCTGGGCCGGCCATCCGAAACCCGCTGGAGTCTGGAGGTAACAACAAGCAAAAGGCGGCATCCAGGGTTTGGTGAAAATGTGTGCAGCCACAATTCAAGAGTTTCAAGAGACATCGTTCTGGAAGCGGAATTTGAAGCAGTTTGGTGTCCTAAATTGCCCAAAAAGGAAAGGTAAATGTGTTCAAAAGAAGCCATCTCCAAGACCGACAAACCCAATTCTCCCAACAGCCAAGCATGTCGGCCAACTTCGAACAACCAACGGATCGGCCGACAGATCGCCGCAGATCGCCCCAAGCTTCTTCGGCTCCTTTTTCCAGGCTTCGCCACGCGGGCTTCCCGGCGTCACCGCCACGCCACGGTGCCACCGGCCCTTCGAGATCTCGGGGTCCGAGGAGTCTTCGGCTCGGTCGGAGAAGGCGCGGGCGCCTCGTTCACCACCATCGTCCGCTCGGGAGGGTGCAGCGTTTCTCAGGTCTTCAAAACTCCAGAAGTGCTAGCTGGATGGTTCGGATGTCCTCCAAGGCTTGATGGAGCAAGAGTCAACCCGTTGAAGGAATCAGTTGGAGACACAATCCTGTTTCGACTGGGTGGAGACGAGACTGGAGACACAAAGCAAAAAATACAGGCCTTTCGTAGCTTCTGTGATGATGCACTCTCCGACGCCCCCAAATGCCCATGTTGAACGGGCTGTCCTCCAGTGAGCCACGCATGAGTTGACTCGCCATGTCTATCGCGCAGAGTGGCGACCTGGGCGGACCGAAGTCCATCAACGACCGAAGAGTGGTTCACACCGTCCACCGGGTCCACCGTCCGAGGACCAAACCAACCCCGCACTGCTCCAGCGACGTGAGCCAGTCCTTTCCACTCCTTGTCTTTGACAACACCCCGGTGGCAGCATTGATAGGTCATGATACTTCTATCGTCTGTCTCCGACCGTCTATAAGCTTGAAGAGTGGGGATGAAGGGCAAACAACCTCTCTTTCCTTGGAAAGGAATGAGATCCACAAAATGTCCTCTGGTCTTTCACCACACTGCATCATTGCACTCTCCTTCTTTCATCTTGCTTGCGTAGTAGGTATCACAGGGTATGTCTCAAAAATTGCTAAGGTACTTTATGGCACTTTCGAATGAAACAACCCAAACATATCTTATGCTGAGCAATCTTTTTTGACAAAAAAGACTACAGCACCGCTCCAAGCTGTCGGCCTCCGCGCCCATCTCCCGGTCCGCTCGCGCGGCGGGCGGCGCCGAGCTGCTCATGCGGCAGCGTCTCGGCCGTCTCCAGTTCCAATGCTTCAGCCCGTGCAGCGGCGATGCAGCCCTCCAAGGCCGCCGAATCCTCGGGCATGTTCTGTTGGGAAGTTGAACCAAGGACCAAGGAGTCCCAAACACATGAAAAAGGTGCGTCTGTCTGTTTAGCATTTTTGAGCCCATCAATTGGCGTGAGTGGGGCCTCCATTGTCACATTTATAAGTGCAACCACCTAGTTTACCTTGTGCCAATCACCAACACGTAAAAACTTGCCATGTCACCGGTATTGCCTCGGCGGCATCTGCTTCAGCTGCTTGGCTGGTCTCGTCTGCTGGTTCTGCACTCTCTCTCTCGGCGGCTCGATCCCTGCGAAGCAGCGGAGAATCTGCATCTAGTCCTTCGTGGACGACCTGTCGTCGGCGAAGTAGGAAGGTTTGTGGTCGGCTCTTTGGGATGAAAACCACCTGTGTCTGCCTGTTGGCCCACCTCCTGTCAAAGCGGAAATGTGGGAAGGCATCAGCTGTGGTGCACGAAAGAAACGAACAAAAGGCCATACACCGTTGTTCTTTCTGTTCCTTCCTTGTCAGATCTTTTTATAGACCGTTCTTTCTTTCCTTCTCTGCTTTCTTGTTCTTATTGCTTTCCTTTATGTCATGTCCTTTCCTTGTTTCCATTTGGCTCCTGACTGTCCTTTATCATTCTCCTGTCCCCCACGCACTGCCTTGTGCAGCAAGCGGCGCAGGCCGGCACCAGGCACCTTGGGCAGCTTCAGGTTGGGCACGCGCAAGTTCACCTGGCAAGTTCTTAAAGCTGAAAAAGACTCTACCATAGACTTAGCAATCGAAAAAGCTTTACCAGCTCCTTGTTTCAAAAAGGTCTTCTGCGGCTGAATGCATCCTGCCTAACCCATTTACTTGGATTGCTAAAAGGAACTAGTTCTTCTTTCCCATGTATAGAAAGGCCTTGTTTGCCACTTGCAGGGTATAGAGGTTCGCGGCCAACTCCTTCAGAATCTCTTGAAGGCGTTCATCGCCATCTCTCCGTGGCTCGGCCATTCCCCTACAAATGCCACCTGGGCAGTGGGCACATGGCCACGGTCAAACTGGCACATGCCACAGTCAATCAACTTGGAGACGTTTCAGAACAAAGCACCAGTGGTCACCACACATCCGAAGCGACGCAAATGCTGCAAAGTAGCAAATCTCACTCCAACTGCGTGAGACCTCCAGGAACTTGGGTGGGGGTGCAGTTCTGAACCGAAAATGGAAGAAACCTGGAGAAAGTGTGGAAATGTTGAGGTGAAAAAGGAATATCGCATGACTCCACACAAAGGCAGTCGAGCGGCATGCGCATGCCAACCTGGGCGGCGGTGTATACTGAGTCTGATCCCCAAAATTTGCATGAAATATTTCCCTATGGAACCTGCGTCTGTTGGCTACCTGGGAAAGGATCTCAGGGCGATCTAGCCTTCGTCTGAGTTGGAAGGACAATCCAAGAGAACAGTCAGTATAGAGTATGATGCAGTATGCTTCAGTGCTTTCCAAGCAGCAGCGGTGCAGCTGCGACCAAGATTTCATGGGAAGCACGGCTTGCCCCGCCAATTTGGTCAACCAGGATAACATGAGCATATGTTCGGCCACTCGACGCAGGCATGCCTCGAAAGTAACAAGAAGCTAGTAGGAACAATGTTTGCGATGAGAAACAATGTTTGCTACTAGGAGCTTCTTGTTACTACTAGTAAGGCACTTGTTACTAGAAGCG